AGCACCCCCTCCCCCCAGCTCTGCCATTTCCTATCTGCGTCATCCTGGGCAAATGACTTAGAATCCTTATGCCTAAGAAAACCGAGAATGACAATAACCATGCCTACCTCAAAGGGTTGTGATGAAGATTAAATGGCTTAATGCACACAGAGAGCTTAGAACAGCACTGGCGCATAACAAGCAGAATACGCTTTGCTATTTTTAAAAGGCAGATTACCATGGTGATTATGTGATAGACTTGCCACTCACAGTGTAGTCCTGGACCAGCAGTGCGGGGAGCTGGTAGAGGCAGAATCCCCAGCGTCACTGACAGCCAGCGAGTCAGGACCCGCATTTCCTCATCGGCCCCTGGTGACTAAGTTGCCAAGCTGCTAATTGAAAGGTTGATGGTTTGAATCCACCAGCTGCTTTGCAGGAAAAACTAGGTAGTCTCGTCTCAGAAACAAACCTGAGGGTCACTCTGGTGGAGATCAGTGTGATGGCTGCGGGCTTTGGGCTTTCGCATACTGCCGCTGTTTTGGTTGGTGAATTGTAGAGTCTGCTCAGGTCCATGGCACTCCTCTGAACAACAAGGCAAAACTCCACCCGGCTCTGTGTTAGTTTCAGGTGCGTAGATCTGGTCACGTCCACTGTTGCAGCCTCTGCGTATTTTGTCTTCCACCCTGGGGCCCATCTGCAGCACTAGATTGGACAATATTCTGTTGCTGTTCACAGCTTCAATCTTCATTAGCTGCATTTGGATCGTGGGCCACCAGGACTTTTTTAGTCATCTATCTTGGTCTTCACTGCTGAAACCTGTCTCGCCTTGGTGAGCCTGCTGGTGTTTTAAATGCCTGGGGCGTAGCTTCCAACATCATAGCAACAGGCAACCAGCACAGCAGCAAACTCAACTATGGATAGATCAGAAAGTCAGGAGGTTGGGAGGAGCTGACATCAGTGTGTTTATAAAGCTTCCGGGTGGTTCTCCAGGGGAAGGCTGCCGCTCTAAGGCCAAAAGGCTTGGGTGTGGGGCTATGCACTCAGCCCCCTGCTTGGTAGGTGAGCATGGCAATCCGCTTGATCTCTCAATTCTTCTGTTTCTTTACCTATGAAATGGAGATGATATTAACACTAACTTCAAAAGGTTTTAAAGAAGACTAAATGAGTTACGGGAGCTCTGGTGGCTTAGTGCCAAGGACTTCTGCTGCCATAACAAAGGCATGAGGTTCGAGTCCACCAGCTGTTCTGCAGGAGAAAGAGAGACTATCACCTCCTGTGTAATTTACTGCTTCTGAAAACCTGCTGAAGGCTCAGGTGTGAGCTGTTCTGACTCAATGATACAAAGCAACAATAACAATCCAAAGGCAGCTTTCCTCTCTGGAAATTCAAATCTGCCAGTGACTCCTTGGAAGAAAGATGGAAATCTCTTCCCGTGCCATTTATAGCCTCTGAAAATCCACTGCAGGGTCAACTGTGAGATGGTTCCAACGAGGAGTGTTATGAGTTTTAAATGAGTTGCTGTTTTAAAAAGCAGTGAGAATACTACCTTGTATATGGTAGAGGCTATCCAAGGATACCACTTTAAAGACGAGGCCCTTGAACCAGTCCCTGGTATTTTCAGTTGCTTCATATGTATGTGGACAACATTTCTAAGTTGGACAAAAACCAAAAGGAAGACCAAAGAAGAGCTGAAGCTTTTGAATTGTGGCATTGATGTAAAATGCTGAGTATATCATGGACGGTTAGAACAGACAAATCTATCCATGGCAAAGCACAGCCAGAATGCTCCTCAGAGGCAAGGGTGGTGGTGAGACTTTGCCTCCCATGCTTTAGGCATGTTGTGGGGAGGAGTCAGACCCTGTAGAAGGACGCCATGCAGCAGAGGAACAGTAGAGATCAATGAAAGAGAGGAAGAACCTCGAAGAGATGATTGACACATGGGCTGCAGCAGTGGACTTGAGCATGACAGGAAGTGAGAAGAGGCGCAGGGCGGGGCGGCTTCCGGTTGGCTGTTCATAGGGCTGCTGTGAGTTGGACCCGACGGGAGGGCACTTAACAACAACAGCACTGTGTGAGCTGTTATTACCTTGCAGGATGTGCCAGGTGTTGTCGCTCTCTGTCACAATGAGCCCTGATTGTCTTCACTTGTCTGAGAATGTCAGCCAGGGTCAACTGCAGGCACTCAAAGTTCACAGAGCAAAGCAAGAAAGGAGTATAGAAATGTCACAGATTCTACTCTATATGCACAGGATCTCGTGAAGAGAGGATGCAAAGTACAAGAAGAAGAACTCAGAGGGTCCCCAGGAAGGCAGAGCAGCAGGTAGATAATTCAGAAAATTCCTGCTCCCTGCAAAACCTTTAGGGCCCTGGGAAAGGCTGGGCTGGTAAAGCACCTACTCCCTCTGGTGGTATAAAGGGAATGCAGCCCCAAGCTAGAGCTGGGTTTGTTGCTATTCTGTGACTAAGAAAGATTCTTCTGATCACTTCCTAGGGTTGGTTTTTCTTTGTGACTAGAAACCAGTTTGAACTGTGGAAAATCCCAACAGGAAGTGAAAGTGCAGTGAGTCTGAGTTCATGCAACCTTCTGGAGAAGGAGGGGAAAGCTTTCTCAAGGGTCAGGGAATTAGCAGGCCTCAGCATACCCCCCCCCCCCGGTCTGTTCTTCCCAATATTCTGGCTTCTCTCAAGCATTGCTCTTGCATCAGCTTGTGCAGGCCACCCCCCGACTCAGTCTCAGCAGATCTGGAGGGAGTGCTAAGTGTCTGTTTGTTTTAAAAAACCATCCTAGGTTCTCCAGAGACCTTTATTGAGGAGGGAATTGCAGAACCAAGAAAGGAGGAGACTTAATCCAGGACCATTTCCCCTCCAGAGCAGCTGGAATTCCCATATGAATGTGAGATAGTTGGTGGGCTGTTAGAGAACATTCTAGAAGCATGACTCCTCTTCACTTCTCTTCTTCCAAGGTGACCCATAAGTCTGGTTTGCCTCCTAAGTGTACCCCCAAATTTCCTGAAAGTTCCTTTCCTCCCTTAAAGTCCTCTGGCTGGGAGCCCACTTTTGGAACTGGCTATCATAAAGACCTGGGAGCTGACTTTTAAGTAGTCAGATTCCCCTCTGCCTGGCTCCCAATCTCTCAGCATGCTTCCCCCCAACTCAGGTGTTCCCCTTTTCTACAAGCAGCTCTCTGGGGTTTACTCCTTTCCCTCACCCCATCCCACCTGAGAAGCCTATATGTGCTATGGGAGGTAGGCGACCAACTGCAGATTGGAGTGGCCAGCTCTCATGTGGGAGGAGGGAGGTCTGGATTGTCCTCTGCCTAAAACAGGCCAGACGCGTTAGTCCTTTCCCAGAGTTCAGTTTCCCCTTCTATAAAATGTTATCCCAGCTGCCGTCACAGTGACTATGAATCAGGACAAGCCCTGTGTGTTGGAGTAGAATTGTGCTCCATTTGCTGGATTTCCAATTGCTGAGTTTTTATTCTCTTGGCCTTCTGAGATGTCTCGGGTGAACTTTAAACTCTAACCACACACATTAACTGTTTGCACCATGCAGGGATTCCCCTGTAACGTTAACAGTGTGGTCTATTTTATTCCCTCAGAATCTTGCCTGCACAAGCCGCCTGCGGTTTTGTGACTGGTTGGTGGTCTTTAAGGCCCCTGGGGACAGTGGATTAAAATAAAGAGGAAAATTCTCAGGCAGCATGTTGGCCCACCTGCCCCTGTCTCCGTAATCCCTCACACGCCCTCTACACGGTCTCACATATTCTGTGGATTTTACTCTCCACACACTTGGTGGAGCTCTTGGTTTCCATGCCCTGATTCCCCTCCTTTTCCCCCAAGATATTTGCAGAAGCATATTCAAAACCCAGACACTAGGTGGCGATATGATCTGCCATCAGATCCAGTCCCTATGGAAGCTTCAGGGAGGCAGGGAGGCGAGGCAGAAAGGAGATCCTCCCAGGGAGCAGACACTCTTCCCTGTGGGATGCTTCTGTAATGGCCAGGCCATAACCACTAGAAAGTCAACGGTGGCAGGAGGGCCAACCTGCCATCATCTTGACCTGGCATTGCTCTGATAGGGCCCTACCAGAAAGGTCAAGGGGCTGTCTGCCACCCCTGGGACTAGCCAAGATGGTGCAAGTGGGACCGGCAGGAGAGTGGAAGAGGGTGCGCTCAAGAGTGAGGGGTCCCAGGACCGTCCCTTTGCCCCTCTACTGTGCATGGCAGTGTGCTTGGGAACCACAGCAGGCTGGCCTTTCACAGACATGACCCAGAGAGTGGCCAGCAGATGCCTCTGCAGCACTCAACAGCTTGAAATCTGTGGACCCTCAGAATCCCCAACTGAGGCCTCTGTTGCCAGCATTTTTGTCAACTCAGAGGTAAGGGGGAGACCCACTGATGTTGATTTGGGATATTAACAATCACATTGTTCATGTTGAACTTTAACAATTGATTGACTGGAAATCGAAGTGATGTGTAGAACTAGAAATAGAAGTGACAGAGGAAAAGCGACCATGGCCATTCCAGGCAGAAGTGAGGGCGGAGGAAGTCAAGGACCTTGTGCTCTCTGAGACTGGCTTTATTATTAACGTGGGCGTGGGTGGGCAGGAGGAGGGGTGCCCACCCAGAGGTCACAAGGGGTCAGTCCCATGGGCTGGCTGGGGTGGGTCAAAGGGCAAGGGCCCCTGTTCAAGGAAGACTTTTGCAGGCCAGGTGTCCTGGACTTCCCAGCCAGCTCTGATGTACGCAGTGGACACAGTAGGCCCTGGAAAGACAGATGGGATTTGGGTTAAGAGTGAAGGCGGGGATTTGTCTTCATTCCTCCTCTCTTCTGCCTCTCTATGGATCCTTGACCAGGCACTTGGCAGTCCTTTTAAAACACATGGTGGGTAAGAGATAGCCCTGCCGTGGAGGATGGCTGACCCGGAAAACCTTCTAGGCCCGTCCCAACCAAACTGCGTTCATTTACACGCCTTCTGACTCCTCCACAGCCCCCTCCCCACCCTGCCAGACCCACCTGTGTTATAGCTCATCTCCATTGCCTTGTCTGGAGGGGTGGGGGGAAGGAAAAAGGCATGTTAGAGCTCGGTGGGGAGGGGTTTTGTCCCCAGCCTCGAGGGCCCCTCCTCACAGGCCCCAGAGATGACCTCTCCCAGTCTGCCCTGCCCACCTCAGGTCCACACAAGCTCTCACCTTCGCTTCTTATGCCCCCCACAGCGGAATCTTTTGCCTTGAAGAGAGAAAATGGTTAGTGAATGTCCACTCAGTCTCACTTCCCAGGGGCCCCTCTTTGCCCAGAAGGACTCGGGTCTTCAATTCTCACACCCTTCCTTCCTGAATGACCACAGCTTCTGGCTCGGACACCAAATTTGATTGTGAGTTTTATTTTTCTTACAGGGCCAGACTTCTAAGTCATTTTAGTTTTGCTAACTTCCTCTTCCCAAGCACATCCAGAGTAGGCTGAGAGCATGGAGCGCAGTGGCCATGCTGAGTCATGTGATGCCCAGTAAGGCTCCTGGGAAGGGTGGCAGTGGATACCGAGCCCAGGGCTCTGCGCAGCCTGTCTGCTTTTGCACGGGTGCACTCAGCTGAAACATCAGGCACTGACTCTGATGTACAGGAATCTTAGAATGAAGGATGTCTGCTATCCCTTGCGTGACCGTGTAGGATTGGACTCTGTAGGATTTCCAAGGCTGACTTTCATACATCTCCAGGTCTTTCTTCTGAGGTGCCTCTGAGTGGACTCGAACCCACCCTCTCAGTTGGCAGTTGAGAACATTGATCATTTGCTCCCCCAGGGACTCTGTGTTCCCTCTATGACTTGTTTTCTTTTCACTGCTCTGTGCTTCTGTGTTGTTTTTATTCTGGATGCTCCCAGACAGGTCAACACACAATTATTAAATGTTTGCTGTGTGGCTGTTGGGACCAGAGGAAATAGAAGGACCCTTGTCTCCTCTAGAATACCCCATGTCCATACTGCAACCTTCTTAGAGGTTCTTGACTAACACTTTTGGATGCCAGTCTTAACTACTTAATAGATACCTATTTAACAAATACAAAGCTAAGGCCCAGGGAGTGTGGGTCCACAATCAGTGGCAGAACCCACAGCCTCTGACTCCCACAGACACTCCCTTTGCAGCACTCAGCAACCACACTCACGTGGGTTCAGGCAAACCTGGCGCTACTTATTATTGACTATGGAACAGCCATTGGCAAGTTGCTGCACTTCTCATTCCTGGGTGGGACAAACAGCTAATGCATTTGGTTGCTAACTAAAAGATTGGAGGTTCAAGATCATCCAGAGGCACCTTGGAAGAAAGGCCTGGTGAGCTCCTTCAGAAAAACCAGGCATCAGAACCCGGAGAGTGAAGTTCCACTCGGACACAGGGTCAGTCATGGAGTCACCAAGGGTCAGAGATACCTGTTGTTGACCTGTTCAGCTTTCCTGTTTAGATATAATTTTAGAGTAGGTCTCAATTTTTTCATCTATAAATGTTGGGGAAAGAGGCTTTCTCTCAGTGTAACTGAAAAGCTGAAATGGGCTGAAATGTCATGAAGTCTAGGATACCTTCCCCTGGCCCAAACCCCACTGGCACTGGCACTTCTTTCCTGTCTGCTAGTGGAAAGGGGGCTCTCTCTTTATGGTCCCCCAAATCAGTGGACTGGAATCTCTAGTAGCCCATATTCGTCCCCACATCCTGAAGGGAGGTGAGAGTTGAAGGGGGACCCACTCTTCTTCCTGGGATCTGGGAGTAGTGAAAAGACTTGCCCTCCCCAGAAGCCAATGTATCCAGTAGTCTGAGAAGTGAGGTGCCGCTCACCCAGCTCCCAGCCCCCATGAGGGTCACCCTGCTTACTGAGGATGATGATGAGCCCCACGACGAAGGCTAGGCCAGCGAAGATCAGGCCCCCATTGCGGACAGTATCATAGTCTTGCAAAGGAGAGAGAGTTGGAGTGAGTGGTCTCCCAGCCTCTCCCTCCTAGTGACTGAGGGGAGGGGAGACACCGCAGGGACCCAGGTGGGAGGGTTTGCAGACACAGGGAGGGTGGAGAGTGGGGGTCTCCAGGCTTACCATAGTGGAATGGGTCCACTTCCCCTTTGGAGCTGCTACCTGAGGAGGGAGGAACAGCCTGAATTCCTGTACTTCCCCTCTCAGTGCTCACCCCACAAGAGTCCACATGAGAAGGGGAACTCCCTTTGGCTAACACCACCACCTCAGGCTGTTCCCGACACCGCTGGCCCAGGCGGCTGTAGACACAACCAACTTTCCCAGAATGGATCCTTTTCTGGCTATTTGCTTCATCCAGTGGTAAGAGAAGACCAAGATAAGTCTCTCCCGTCAGACCGCTAGCAGTCTCCCGTATTACTAATCAGCTAGAAGGGGCTGAGCGACTATTTGAGCTAAATGGACAAATACAATAGAATCTTAAAGTTAGATTAAACACAAGAAGGAAACGGAGGGATTATTTGAAAACATATTCAAATCCCAAAGGAAACTGACAGTAGAACCAGGTCTTAGACCCAGGCTTCTGAATTCTTTATACACTCCTGCGTTGCCATCTGCAGGAGGAAACACATTTGTTTAATAAGCACTAGTATTGCACTGACTATGTGCCAGTTTAAGGACATCTGGTGACAGAACACATTTCATGTTGGGCTGCTAACCAGAAGGTCAGTGGTTCAAGTCCGCCAACAGTTCAGGGGGAGAAAGATGGACAGTCTCTTCCTGTAATGATTTACAGCCTTGGAAGTGCAGAGGAGGGTGCCTGAGCTGAAGTCGTGATGGCTGTGGTTTTGAATAGCGGTTGAATTTATCATCCTATGAGGCATTATTATTATTCCAATATAATAATCTTTATATTGGAATAATAGTTATTCTACTGGGACAATATAATAAATTCCAACATAATATTCTTATTATTCCAATATAATCCATGAGAAAACAGAAAGACAATTCATTCACAGTCACATAACTAGTAACAGGTGAAGCTGGATTTGAACCCAGGCAGTAGGTAGCTAAGAACCTAAGTACTTGGCCCCTTTCCTGAAAGGAAGGAAGGAAGAAGCTCTGTCAAAGCGAAGTCATTTGGCCCTGCCCCTTCTCCCATCCTGCCAGGAGTTTCTCTGTCCCAGTTCTGCCCTCCAGCCCGGTCAGCTGAATGCCCTTGCCCTTGGGCAGTTGGAGGGCAGCCTGGACAGAGCTTGCCTGCCATGGCAGAGGGTTGTCCAATCTTCTTGAGCCCTTTCTTGGCACCAGGGCAGGTGTTCCTGAGGCTCGAGGAATGTGCAAGACAGCAACATCAGGCTGTGCTGAGCTATGGCCCCCTCATCCTCTGCCCATTCCCTGCCCTGCAGTGGAAGCATCAGAGCCTGGGAGCCTGGCTTTCCCCTGCAGCTCAAGCCTCAGTCCAAGAGAGGATAGGTGATGAAGGGTCAGTGTCTGGGGGCCACTGAGGCTGTTCAGGAAGACCAGAGGCCAGCGAGAAGCCAGGGGTCCCAGGACCCTACCTGTGTCAGCTCTTCAAGGTGAACTTCTGAGACTGGGTTCCAGGTTTGTTCAAGGTCATATTATGACAGTACACTCCAGGTAGGAGACCCTCTCACTACCCCAGGAAACTTCCCCTTCCTAACTTCCTCATCTTGAGTCATTTGATGAGTCTCCCCTCTTGCAGGACCCTGGCCTTCTCTGGATCCAAGTCAAAACCCCCTGCAGTCAACAGATTTCCCTGTGGCCTCCAATGCTCAGTGATGCCGTCCACAGGTGGTGCTGGGAGTGCATCCTGAGCTGGGGGGCTCTTTCACCAAAGCAGGTTGGGAAGCCAGCTTAGAAGCCGGGGCCAATTCTCCCTGCTGGACCTCCTTGACCCCTGCTCTGAGCTCAGACAGTCCAGCTGCTGTCCCTGGGGACAGAGCAGGGGCCTGCCAAAGTCAAGGACCATGCCCACCTCCACTGGCTTCTGTCTACTCTTGGAGCAACATTTCTCTAGGTTCAAGGCAAAAAAAATTTTTTTTTTAATGCAGATTTTTTTTCTAGAGAAGCCTGGTATTGGGGTTTAAGGATATCTGGAAGTCAGAGGTGTCAGGACAGAGAAGAGCCCCAAGGAATAGGGGATCCAGCAGAAGCATACCCTGCTTCATACATAATACACAGGCGCGCGCATACACACAAACACAGCAGATACACAGCAAATATACTCTAGTGCATGAACTTACCATCATCCGCGGACAACCCTGTCATCTCCCAGCTGACCTCCTCCCACTGTCTCTGCTTCAGGGACAGTGTGTCTGGCAGAGGGGTGGCTGGGTCCAAGGTGGGGCATTAAACATTAACAGTGCCAGGTAATATTTAGCCTGGTTACAAGAAAAGCCCCGGTATGGACAGGATGGAGGGGCTCCCGCTGTGGCGTAAGGAGGAGCTGGGAGGAGTGGCTGAGTTTCCAAACCCTCCCAAAGGAAATTTCCAAAGAGAAGGGCGTGGGCAGGCAGGCAGTGGGGTTCTTCCACCATCCAGATGAGCCTCAGCATGAAGGCAGGAAGAGGGAAGTGGAAGTTTCACAGCGTTATCACCTGGGCTCTTTGTGGGGGCAATGACTGGGTCCCCAGCACTGACAGCCATTGTGGATGCTCTGGTTGCAGCTGATGTTCCTTGTGGGCAGAAGAACTCAGGGCTTCTCTTATGTGACCCCAATATGCTTGTAGATCCCTCTGTACACCCTGGAACATCCTTTCCCTATCTTTTATTTCCCCTACTGGTATTTTTATTTTACATTGATTTGTATACAAAATCCTTATATACTGTGCATCATTCATGTACACTGCATTTCACGCATTCCTACATTCATATTGTGTTTCAAATGATCACTCATATACATTGTGTTTTATAAAATTAATCACCATTAATATATGTCTATGATTACCCCTTCTTCTCAGGACCCCATTGGATCTTTGCTAAGTTCTTCACCTCCTTGTCTTCTGCCCACCAAATTCTGTTGTCCTAGCGATTTTCTCCCATCCCCACCTTTGCCCACTGAGGAAGGATCTAGCAGCTCACACCTCAGTCAGAAAGGCTTCATTCACCTCTATCTAGTCATCCCTTCCCAGCTGCCCCCAGCACTTTCCTTCTGCAGAGACTGAGCCGTTGGTGTGTCCAGCCTGACCTTCTCGTAGTTGCCACATCAGGTTCTCACTGCACGTTTTAAAGGATGGAACCAAGTCTTATCATTGAAAGACAACTTTGTTTTTATGATTTACAAAGCACTTTGGTCACTGCTTCCTAACTCACTGAACTTTGCATTATTCCTCCACATTAGAGATGAGGCAGCAGAGGCTCAGAGAGGTTGAAGACCTTGCCCAAGGTCACACAGTTAGTGAAAGGATGAGTGGAGGCCAGCCCTCTGGCATCAAGAGTCAGGTGCTTCTTCAACAGAGTTCCTGCTCCATGAGGCCTCCTTCGCCTCAGGGGGTCTGGTTCCTAGTGCTCTGTGGTCCTGCATTATCCTCAGGGAAACCAAATCAGGTGGCTTGTCCTCCCAAAAAGCCTAATGCTTAACAGTAGCCAAAAAAGACTGAGGTTTATGGTGCTGTCCACCAAGGACAATTTGGTCCCTCAAGGAGAATGGCACCTCTACCAGTCTTCCACAAACAGTGACAGAGGCGTGACACTTCAACTTACATCCTGGCTCTACCATTTGATAATCATACGGTCCCAGTCAGTTTACTTAAACTCTCTGGACCTCAGTTTCCTCTTCTGTAAAATGGGAACTGAAAGGTGTGTCCAAGAAAAATTGTCCAAGGCAAAAACAGACTAATGTGTGTAACATAACATGGACTTGGTTTGCAGAGTGTTTGAGAAGAATTAAAGTCATTGCTGTTATTGTAATGCATGCCCTGGTTGGAGAATAACAGGCCTTTTGTTGAACATGGCCATTGGAGACGGATGAGGTGGATGAGAATGTCATTGCCCTCCAGACCTGGAGCAGTGACACCCAGTCAACTTTCCTTTGCTGTCAGAGCCAAGTGCAGACTCATGCAAACATCCCAGGGGCTAAATTTACCTTTTATTTCAAAAGAAATCAGTGCTGTTAAGAGAGGCTAGTCCTTGGGGGGAAAAACCATCATGTTGAGAAAGCTGAAGGAAGGTTCAATGAAAGAGAAGAAGACCCTCAAGGAAGTGGATTGACAAGTGACTATAACTATGGGCTTGAGCGTGTCAGTGACGGTGAAGTGGTGCTGGGTAGGACAAAATTCTGATCTGCTGTTCATAGGGTTGCTCTCAGTTGTTGTTGACTCGATGATGCCTAACAACAGCAACAACCTTAGCAATCCCTCATTGCAGAACATTTACACGCACAATTTCACTGACTCCATGTTAGCTCCATTTTACAGCTAAATAAACTGAGGCTGATCATTTGCTCCCTGAAAAACTCCTGACTGTAGGTAGAGCATTGTTATGATCCTTGCTGAGCAGAGCAGGACAATTTAGGGAAGGGAGGTTAAGGGACTTGCCTGCAACACACAATCCATGGCCAAACCAGAGCCAAGAGGGCCAAATCCTGAATACAGTTTTCTAAAGCTACTGTCATTGTCCACACACTGCCTTTACTGTAGACAGTCTTGTTATCTCAGAGAAGAACTGAAGCCTTTGGATGATAGTGTTGCCAAAGAAGCACGATAAAAAGGTAGACTGCCAAAAGAACAGACAAATCTATCTTGGAAGGAGGAGAGGATGGATTCTCCTCAGAAGCCAGGAGGGCATATTTGAACATGTTATCAGGAGGGATTTGTCCCTGGAAAAAGGACAGCATGCTTGGCTGCAAAGTAGAAGGTCAGAGAATAATAGCCTCACCAGGATGGACTGACTTGGTGGCTCCAGCAGTGAGGGTGGTGCGGGGAGTGGGTCACCGTGAGCAGAGCTGACTCAGAGGTTCCTAACAACAACAATCTTGCTACCTTACTTAGTGCATCACATCGGCCTTTCTGAGCCACTAATGGCTCCTTCCTGGAATAATGGATGAGGCTCATGAAGATACAGAGAGAGTTATAGAGATGCATAGACAGATGGGGGGAGAGCAAAGCAATTTAACAGCTACGTTTTTGAACTCTATATGCAAG